TATGGTTAAGGTAATAAACAATAATTGCAATTTGTATAACTTTCTTAGCATAAAAGAACAAAAATAAATTTAAGGATATAAGTTCTACGATTTTTCGCATTCATCAAACACAAAAGGACAAACTTAATAAAAAAAAGAGGGGAAAAAAAAAGAAAGTGATAAAGAAAAACATGAGTGGGGGAAGGGGTTTCACAGCTGAATGGATGATCAGATTCCTAAGGGCTGATTCGTCTTTGTGATTAATACCCACTTCACGATTTTATGTATAAACACTAATGCATCTGTTATAAGAAAAAAATTGAACTGAACGGGTACAGTGAATTCAGCCTTTTATGGATGAAACGGAAATAATTTTGATACGAATTGGGGTAACATGTTTACCCTTTAATGGGTACAATGAATTCAGAAATAACATGTTTTAGAAAAAAAAACGGGTAAATTGTTTGGGCCCCATGGGTAGGAGTAGTAAATAGTTTGGGCCTGGGCATTAAAGGATAAATAGTTCAGGATTAATGGGTATAAAGTGAGATTTTCTCGAAAAAAAAAGTGAAAAAGTGAATGCCTTTCTCTAAATTTATTAGTCTAAGTTTTTCCAAATTTATATAAATTTCAATCGTCAAATTGAACTGGTTATACCATTTTGACCCAATAGTTTGATGAGTCAATTTAGTTTGGGGTATTATTACTTTTTGACCGCGCCAAAAAAACATTCGATAGCTGAAAAAAAGTATTAAATATGTATAATTGTTCTATATAACATACAGAAAATATATTATAAAATATATATATTTTTCGACTATTATTTTGAGAGCGACAATACAGTATCATACATTGGATCAAGTCACCAAATTAAACGGGACAATGAATTACTAACACATGAATATACTTGATCAAATATTATGAAATAGAAGAATGGTGCCCTTATAGCAGTGGGGACATGAAGGAATCCGCTAAGAACGAATGAAAATAGGCATCGAATGAAGTTATCCTTTAACGTAATATGATGGTGATTTGAATGCACGACCGAGTCTGTATGATGTTTTTGGACTTGCGTGCATGTTTGGTTTGGAGCCTCGAGGGCTCGTGTGAGTTTTGGATAGGCCACGGAGTGTAATTTTCACTTAGGAAATTGCTGGTATGTTGCAGGTCTGCAGGCTTCGCATTTGCGAAGCCTGGCTCGCAAATGCGAGCAATGTGTCGCAAATGCGAGATGTGGCCTGGGCTGCCTTCTTCGCAAATGCGAAGTACCTGTCGCAAATGCGAAGGCAGAGTCGCAAATGCGATCATTTTATCGCAAATGCGAAGGTTGCAGGATTTTTGGTCAGGTCGCAAATGCGACATATTTTTCGCATCTGCGAAGTTAGCAGAGTCTGGGTTTGCAATTGCGAACCCTTCGCAATTGTGACATCAAAGACCTGTAAAATCCATACTTAGACGAATTTTTAACCCTTTTTCATATCTTCTCAAAACATAAACACTCTAGGGCGATTTTTCAAAGGCAACTTCTTCTCCAAATCAATTGTAAGTCATTTCTAACTAGTTTTCTTCAATCCTTAACATCTTTTCACATGATTTCAACTCAAAATCAATAATTTTCATGGGGGAAATTGGGTGTTTTGGGTAGAATCCAGGTTTTTCAATTTTGGGGATTTGGACCTTGATTTGAGGTCCGATTTCAAAACAAATTATATATTTGAGTTCGTAGGTGAATGGCTAGTCGGGTTTTGGTTCAAACCTCGGGTTTTGACCATGTGCGCCCGGGGTTGATTTTTGACTTTTTGGGAAAAACTTTAGAAAACTTATTTTCATGCATTAGAATTGGTTCATTTAGCATTTATTGATGTAATTAAGTAACTTGTGACTAGATACGAGCGAATTGGTGGTGGAATCAAGAGGTAAAGCTATAGTTGAGGCTTGAACTGTGTACGAGGCATCGAGGTAAGTGTTTGGTCTAACCTTAGCTTGAGGGAATAGGAGTTTGGTCTTATATGCTATGTGTTATATGTTGAGTACCGTATAGGCATGGTGACGAGTATCTATACATTGGTGTCAAGCATGCACGTGAGTCTTATGTTGTGATTAATGTGACTCCGTTTGTATTGTTCATGTTTAATGTGGTAATTGCTATTGTTGAGCAAGGTTTGTGGGAAGAATATTGGTATTTGTGTATTGAAGAGCGTTGGCTCGAGTTGCAAAGTGATATGTGAAAGTATAATTGGCAATTGAACTTTATAGAGCATTGGCTCAAATTGTGAACCAAGTTGTGAGGTAAATGTGAAAATGAGAAAAGGATTATGTATTGCTCCCTTGCCGAGACGTTGTGGCTTTTAATGTTGTTCCCTTGCCGGGATGTTGTTGTTTTAATGTTGTTCCCTTGCCGGGATTTTATTATGATTCATTTATTCCTTGCCCTTATTGTTTGTGTTTGTTGTTTGGGTGAGCACGAAAGGTGATGCCGTGCATTGTTTTGGTGAGAGAGTGTTAAAGCACGAAGGGTGATGCCGTGTATTATTATCATTATTTGTGAGGAAGAGTGTAAAGCACGAAGGGTGATGTCGTGCCGCATGATGCACCATTCCGTGCCGATTATATTGAAATTATGGTGAGGATGAGAGTAAAAGCACGAAGGGTGATGCCGTGCAGTTTATATTGATTTTATGGTGAGAATGAGAGTAAAAGCACGAAGGGTGATGCCGTGCATTTGTTTGATTTCTGATTCTTGTTGATAATTGAATTGCGGTGTTCCATATATTTATCTGTTGTCCTCTTGTTGCTATTTGGTATTCCCCGCAGCATGTTTCCCCCTCCCAGCCTTGACTATATATATTTCTGCTTTTATTTTCCGCTGTACATTATTCATCTGCACAAGTTTAATTGGTAGTCTGGTCCTAGCCTCGTCACTACTTCGCCGAGGTTAGGCTAGGCACTTACCAGCACATGGGGTCGGTTGTGCTGATACTACACTCTGCACTCTTTTGTGCAGATCCCAGTGCTGCAGATTTCGGACCGCAATGAGGTTTCAGCTTCTTGCTTATCAGGCGAACCGAGGTAGTCCTGCAGGCATCCGCAGGCCTTGGCGTCCCCCTCTATGTATTTTCCTGTTTCTTTTACGTAGTTCCAGAGACAGTACTTTGTTATTTCTTTCAGACCCTTATTTGCAGTACTCTTAGACAGTCTGTGAAGTTGTGACACCAAATCTTGGGTAGGTTTGTTATGGAATTGTATTAGTAGTATTATTAAGTTTACAATTAATTCTTCCGCTTGCTAATTTTTGTTGATTATAAATTGTTAGCCTATAACTGTTAACGAATTTGAAAAAAAGAAACAAAACAAATAATTCAGTTGGTTAGCTTGCTTAGCTTTCACTAGTAGGCGCCATCACGACTCCCGAAGGTGGAAAATTCGAATCGTGACAGAGTAACAAATTTTGAGATTTTGCTGCGTATATAATCTGGCGAAAAGGTTATATTTTTATAATTTTTTAATAAGGTCAAAACTTAAATGGTGACAAATGAAAAGAGAATAATAAATCATTTGTGCAAATCAAGGAGAACATGCAGTTGATACTTGTGGAAGGATTGGCTTCGCCTGTAGATGTCCAAGCAGTGCTCCTTTAGTTTAGGGTATTATCACTTTTAGCTTGCGCCAGAAATTATTTATATTCGATAGACTAAAAAGAGTATAAATTTTGTATAATTTTATATACATATATACATTTTTCACACACACACACATATATATAAAAATATATAGTTTTCGGCTATTATTATAAAAGCGGCTATACAACGTCAACATGTATGTTGGGTCAAGCTACGAAATTAAACAGGACAATGAATTACTAACGTGAGTAGACTTGATCACATTATGAAATAGAAGAATGGTGCCCTTATAGCAGTGGGGACATGCTAAGAACGAATTAAAATAGGCATCAAATGAAGTTATCCTTTATGTAATATGATAGTGTAAACATTTAATTAATTTCAATATTAGTGCTTACTACATAACAATTTTTCCAAAAGCATTTAATTAAACAATGTTTGTTTTGATTGTTTCATTAAAATTGGTTGTATTGTATTGTTAAATACATTATTTTGGAACAATGAAAAGCCCCATTTTTTGAAACAACTGATTTGGTGTGGTGAGACTGTTTCCTACTTTTGTTTCAAATTATGCCGTAACTTACTACTCCATCATTCTACTTTACACTTTACCTTCTTTTTTTAATATTTACTTCAACTCAAAATCTCCCACCTATAACATAATTTTTGCCGCTTCCAACTCCAACGTAAAATTACTAATTTTGTTACATTTTTTTGCATGATTTTAATTGCTTAATCTATTTATAAGACATATTTGGTGGTAAATTAATAGAAATGGGTTTTTCAAAAACTGTTTTCATGCATAATTCTTGATAAGTAATATTTAAACAATTGAGGGTATTGTAGTAAACTTACTAGTTACATTACAAGTACGATACGGTCAAACCAAACAGTAAAATATTTTAACAACAATATAATCTATCCAAACGTTGTATCCATAAAATGTTGCAATACAATACAATATAACACAATACAATACATTATAAAACGATAAGTAACACGATCGAAACAAGCTGGAAAGACTCAAGAAGAAAAATGTCACAAAAACCTCACGTTCACTATTAACTAACCATATGCAAAGTAATGCGCTCAAGTAATGAAATAAAAAAAAGTCATTAGGAATAGGGACTGATAAGAGATAATTAAACGAAGAACATAACACAGCAAACTAAAAGTACAGTAACTAATGAGTCTGCAAATATAGACTCAAATATTAAGAGCTTGTCAAGATATATACAATAAGATCATGTTGCTCTCGCTCGGCAAGAAAAAAAACTACTTAAAACTTACTCGAATATTGACTCTGATGTTCCTAAATAGCAAAATTATAAAGACCTTTGCCATAAATCTACATGGGGGCAGGGAGTGTTGGAAATAATAATATCAGCAAATAATCAAAATCTAATTAGCAGTCTACACCAGCATGAGAATTCAAGCCATTTAACAAATTCCTGTTCTCTGATAAATATGGAAACTATTATCAACTTACTCTAAACAAGCGAGAGATTGTAGCCGCAGCCTTAATCTAACATTGTTTGACTACGAACAGATACAGCAATCAAACATTCATTTTCTATTGATACACAGATGTTTGCAGATAGAATAAAAACTAAAGTTTTTTCGCAATCATATATACATATACCTTTTCAGTAAGTTTCTCCTCATAATACTTTGGAATTGGTTCCGTCGCCTGAGTTTTCTCGTGCTCAGCATCACCAAACAAGGAACTAACCTTCATGGCCTGATTATGAAGTTAAAAGTTGTTCAGTAAATGGGTGAAAATACCAACAAAAGTTATTAGTCACATTTCTTGTAAAGTACTAACAAGAAATTAAGAGTAGAATCCAACCGAACTATTATTCTATTAAATACATACCTGTAATGCCTTGAACAATTCATTTGTATATGGTACACCATCATTCTTCTCCAAAACCAAATTCACAAGTGAAAGAAGTTCTTTAAACTGGCAGTCTTTCTTCTTTGGATCTTTAGTCTTGTTGTCAAAAAGCACTTTCCTATTATCACACAACTTAAGAGTTTCCTGTAATAAAGAATTTTTTCTCAATGCTTGACATTACAAACCAATAAGAATTCTTATCGAGCAGAATCAATCTTCAAAATTAATGAATTTGCCAAAATACGGGAAATTAAATCACCATGAATGGATCATAACGCCAAAACCTCTTAGAACAGAAGACTGCAACGATAATACATTATATTCTATGAACTGATAATTAGCTAATTCTGCCAAAACAATGTCTGCAAATAATCTAAACTTCAGGGCAGTCATTGCCTAAGTAACCATCCAAAGTCTCATCACTATCTTCAAGCTCATCTCCTCCAGTGAAGACTACAATCATGTAATCACTAATTCTGTTCCCAAAGAACTCTTGAAAGCTCTGTACAGCGGCTTGTTCTTCTCTAGAAAACCACGTTCGGACAGACAAAACTAAAAGAAAAGCATGGATACCATCCTTGGCCAAATCCATACATTTGATAATTTCTTTTCCAATAACCTCAGGTTCACCAGAAAAATCAAACAACCCTGCACTTCCAACAACCTTAGCGCAATCAGTAGTTTCACAGATTTCTTGAAAAATACATCAAAAACAACAACTATGCCTCAGTCAGAATTTCCAAGCAAGTTGGGATCAGCGATACAAATCCGCATTCCTTTCATTTAACTCAATACATCATCAACATTACCAAAATAAAATAAAAGTACAAGTAAAAAAAGATAAAGATGCTAATCAAGTTCATTGGCAATACCAGGGTTATCGATCACATTAATAGTCAGACCATCGTCTAATTGAGCACTCTCAAGTTGACAGGTACTTGTAACACCAGAAGAGCTGTACTTTGACGTGAATTCTTTTTTTACAATAATGCTATTGCCTGTCGCACTTTTTCCATTACCGGTGCGACCCAGCAGAACTAATGTCCGAGCTTCATGTTTAGTAAATTCCCAATCATCATTAACTGCACTTCCACCCATTTTATCGTTCTGAATCAAACTACCTACAACAAAGGACGAAACAGCAGAAGAAATGTACAGCATTAACAGAGACACAATAAATCTAGTGTGTCCACACAATAGATGTGAGATGTGAACTTACAACTAACAAAACAAGAATGAGATATATACTGTCTAAGGACTAAATGTTTAAGATAAGATCAGGTTCTCATACAATAGACTATGATAAGTATAGTATTTACATATTTGAAATTTTCAAAGCTCCAGACTGCAACCAATTCAGTATAATATAAGTTGACCAACAATATAAGATGAAACTCTAGCTAAGAATCAGATGTGAGAATCCTGATGTTAAAATTATGCTTACTAGCTAGCTACAACAAAAACCTTTAGGTTGAAAGGTTCGAAATGAATAAATGGTATTCAAAATCATATTGGAACAAAATCTTAGTGCAGGTAAGAACTTTTCACTTGGTTTGGTTTGGGATTATAAAAAGTGGGAAGTTTCAAGAGTACGTAAAAAATGAGAGATTCTCCTAATTTTGCAAGAACACAAAAGCTTCCCTAAAAATAATTTCAGCTTAATCTAAAACAGCAGGGGAAGAAACCCAACCCCACAAAAACAAAACACTCAACCAAAAAGAAAAAGAAATTAAAATAACATATATAGTAGGTGGTAATTAAGTGAATATATAAGGGCAAGGAAGACACGAAACTACAACTTACCACCAAACTTGGACAGTCCATGCAAAAAAAGAAATGCATGTAGCGTACGACAAAAAATTATACGAGCATTCAATTCAAGTTATTTGACTTAAACAGTGAAGACCAGCGTACAGGAGCATAGCTCTATAGGAAACCGAATCTATAGCAACCTCATGGTTTAATGGGATAGAAAAACAAAATCAAAACAGAAGAAAAAACCAAACAATATGTTAACAAGCAAAGATTTTAAACATGAAATAGGTAATTTGCCTCGCACGAATTACTCCTACAGATTTCTTAGATTTAAGATTTTTCTTTTAATTGTTTAATTTGTAGGAATTAATTGCATAATTTCATGTTTATTTGCATTTTACTGTATTTTTTTTTAATTTTTTATTTAACGTGAATTCATAAAAAATACAAAAATACGCATTGCATTTGCATTTAGGATTTAATTCTATATGTTTTAGATTAATTAGTAATTAGGGTTTTACAAAAATACAAAAAAATCACAGAAAATGATTTATTTAATTCTAGCTTTGAATTTTGTTCAGTTGTCACTTAAATTGGTTTTTAATTAATTTGTGTTGGTTATTAATTAGAGCTTAATATAGTTGGGTAGGTTAATTTAGTTTTTAGAGTTAATTTAGATTTTTTGTTTTAATTTGAAAAGAAAAAGAAAAGAAAAATGGTTCCTTAATAAAAGACCCGAATTTGGGCCAAATACACCCCAAGCCCAAACCTTTGCACATCTGAAACCCGTCCAAACCCAGTCCAATCTCACCCGGTCCAGTCCCCAGAACATTAAAACGACGTCGTTTGGGCTCATTCAATCAGGACCGTCGAGGTTTCTTGATCGGACGGTCCTGAAGCCCACGTCGTTTAATATATAAATGTCCGAACATACGCCACCCCCCCCCCCCCAGAACCCCCTGCCTCACCATCTCTCACAAACCCCTGATATCGCCGGCGTAGCACCACCACGTCCCCGCCGTCACCCCACCGGCCCCAAAATTTCACCACAAACTCATCTTCCCCTCCTCTTTCCAACCCCATAACCATCCCCCTCGAATCACAATCCATCTTCTCGAATATTAATTCGAAAATTCCGGTCAAATCACTACTTATCCCAAACCCGGCCAAAATAACACCACAACTNCTCTCCCTTCCCCCATCATCAATCCACCCTTAATTTCCTTCGAATCCCATCGGAACCCTCCAAAATCCCCAAACCCTAGGGCGCCGCCATGGTTTCCTCCGCCGTGTCCGGCGGCGCCACCATCCAATCCCCACCAAATTTACACCGTAGGATCTCCTCCACCCCCACATCACAAATCCACACCCTTTTTCCCCCAAATCTTAGCCAAGGTTCACGAATCTAAAATTCAAGTTAACCCTAAAATCCGGAAAGAGGTTTTGTTGACGATTTTGACTCTAATGGGTCTTAGGCGTGTGTTTTCACATAAAAAACACACGGTTAAGGGCTGTTTAGTCAAAGTTTCAAGGTATTCTTCCGAGGTTCGTGATTTGATTTTGGCCAGTTTGCTAGGTATTTCTCTTTGCTCATTTCATTTTATTTTTGTGTCTTTATTTTCTTAGTATTTCTTTTTCTTTTCTTGTTTTTGTTCCTGACTTGGTTTTAGGCTTCTGCATGCTTGAAAATCGTCGCTTATTCCATGGTTTTAGGTTCATTACTAGTTAACTGTTTATTTACTCTTCTTTTTCACACTCTTTTTCTCTTTTTGTTTAATTAAGTATAAGTTTCTAAGTCATTTGTAGTTTGTAGAGGTTAATGGCATGGGTTAGTTTTAATTACTGAATGTTGTAGTGTTAATTGGCCTTTTTCTTTTACTTCTGGACCCAATTTGAATTGCTTGGTTTGAATTTGGTATGGGTCTATTGGGACTTCTGAATTGGGTTAATTTCAGGGTGGGTTTGAAAGCCCAAGGAAAATAGGCCAGTCCAGTTGGGGTTAAACGATTGGGTCAACTTGACCCATGAGTTGAAGGTTGGCTAGTTGTCCAAAGTAAAATTCAGGGGTTGATGAGGGTAATTGGGGTAATACACATAGGGAATCTATAATGTAATTAAAATAGGAAGCTTCTAGTAGGGGTTTCTAGGAGAATTTCAGATTTTGGGTAGTTTAGCTTGGGTAGCAAGGCATAAAATAAAGGACTAACTAGCTAAAAACAAAAATCAGAAAAGGACTAAAGGGTAAAAAATAATTTTACAAGGCTGCCCTAGTAACTTGCCTATAAAGGCATTGTTACTTGGGGCTAAAGGCAGATTTTCAAGCACTGAAAACTCTGAAAAACTCTAGGCGGCTAAATCTCTAAAAATACTGTTCCATTGCCTCTGCTCTGATTTTTTTTTACATCTGAAGCATTTTTTGGGTTCATTTAAGGCATAACCATGATTTGAATTTGGCTCTAAAGTCTGATTTTGAGGTGTGGGTTTTGGATTTGATTGAAATCGTTTGGTTAGACTGGTGGAGCACTGTTTTGGTTTTACTCTCTTAAAAACTGATTTGCTGTGGGTATTGTTCGAGTGATGTTGCTCTCTTTTGGTTTTGACACTCGATTTGATTGAGTTGCATTGCTGCTGGGTTTGACTGCTGTGTTACTCTGCTGATCCTCCTTGTTTTTCCTTATTTCAATCTCCAGGTACAAACCTTGAATATCATAATGTGAAACCGAGTTTTGAAGATGGAATGAAGCAGTTTCTACCTCTTAATATTAGTTTTCTTTATGCTAAAAGTGTTATTTCTTTCATGACTCTATGCCTGGTTCATTTCTATCAGTGATGTAGTGATTTTTCTTTAGAATAGCTAAGAATCAGGCTGTAATTAATCATGGACTGTTGAGACTATGACATGTTTAGATCTTGTTGTTTGTTTAGCTTTAGTGTTGTAAGTTAAATTGCAATCCATACTAGCTGAATGTGGAAGTGATTTTGGAATTATCAGGTTTTATTACTCTTCAGTATGTGTAAGCTTGATATTTTTTTAGTATTTCATAATAATTGAGCTTTGTTTGTTCATGGAACATGAAACTCATTAGGAGTTTAATCTATAATAGCCCTGATTTCTGTTAAACATTTTCAAGGTCTTGCTATCCTGTCTTTTAAATGTTAGTTTGAATTTTAAATTGGAATATCGTGTGAGCATGAAAATAACTATAGGATTAATATAGTTGTTTATACAAGTATTAATGTTGTGGTGAGCAGATTCTCATTAAAATGGTTCTTAGTTAAAGCCTAATCTATGCATTCAGCGGCTAAGCTCCACTGCCCTAGTTCTTGTGGTCATCCTTTTCAAGTCTGGAAATCTATAAATCTAAAATACAGGAGTTCATACATTTTCTTTAAGTGTTGAACATTTCACTCCTGCAGTCTGTCCTTTATTCGTAAATAAAAAGAGAAACTAAGAGAGGTCGGCCTGTGAGTTTAGTAGCAAATTTGAGCTAAGGATCCTGTCCTTATTGGAAGTGATCCTTGTTCGAATTTGGGCTCATTCTCAGGCCCAGGCATTTTAGTTGAATCTGATGGTGGTTTGGGTTAATTTGTGTCAAAAGGATTAAATCAGAATTTCAAATCTCTTATTTCATATTCATGAGTTGGCATTAATTTGTGTTTGTATCGTTATAATCTGGTCTAAACCATTTGGACTACAAGAACTGGGCCCAACGTTGGCCTAGTTGCATAAACAAGCCCAGCTGTTATTCATTGGCCCACTGATTGATTTATGCTGATTGGATTTCGTTAGTTCTGAGCCTTGCTCCTCATTTGGGCTTCACGTTCCCCCTTCATCATTTCACCACTTACTGATTCATAGGGTTTAAAAATATTAGGTTCATTCAGATGGAGTTTCAATCACTGCCCTTTAAATGATTGCGGAGGTGGCCCAAATAGATAATAATAGTTCATGGCCTTCTCCAAATTTTAGTCAGGATGTCCTTTAAAATGGAATCGAGGTGCGCCGCGCCAAATAAAAATCACAAATTGCGTGGCCCTCTTTAATTATATTTTTAAAATTCTTAGAACTCGGGATGTGCCATTAGCGAATTTGTATGGCCTCCCGCAAAGTTAACAACGCGTTAGTCGCTTTAGGTGCGTCTTTTAATAATATTACTTTCTTAAATTCGGGTGTGCATTTCATGTGACCCAAATCCAAATCCTAAAACGTTGAATAAAATGTGTTTCGGATTGCGGGTGCATTTCATGTGACGCGATCCAAAGACACGTTTTAAACGACGTTCAATCTTCCTTAAAAACTAATTAAAAGCGGTAAATAATTTAAAATTGCATTATAGGATGAA